CTTGCCTTCTGATGGATACAAGCACCCACTCCCCTTTCCTCATAGGTTGCTGGTGAGAAGAAATGCACAGTGCATCAAAAACCCTCACCCTTGATTCTTCAGCCCCATCTTCTAAAGGCTGGAGGTGGGCAGACCCTACTAATAGCAGAACCTATTTTGTCTCTTATTGTGTCAAGCATGGGTGATATAGCATCCAGTTTTAGGATTTGGAGGTGCCTGACCTAATGAATTATACTACTCTAGGTCTTTGGGGCCTCAACTGAAGCTGAGATGAAAAGCCTCATTTATTATCCCATAACTAAGAAACACCCAATGTGGTAGTTAAAGTTATGTGTCAGCTTGGCTAGGCCCAGTTTTGAGTGGCTGGCTGGCTGCATATAATTATTCCCCATGATGAGACTGGCAATCAACTCCATGGTGGAATCTACTGTGAGCAGCTGAGTAGCTGCCTTAGGGAATGTGGGCTGCTCCCAGGATATAAGGAAAAGCTTTAGGCATGGTCTCTGTAGGTTCTGGAATGCTTGAATCCTGCATGTGGCTGAGTCACTGTTCAGCAGCCTGCCATGTTGTCTGCCAATCTTGGGACTCTTAATGGACTTGAATCAATGGCCTCCCATGTGGTTTGGTAATATCGGAACTGTACCTTTTTACTTGTCGACCTTGGGTTTGTCAGCCTCAGTAACCAGCGACTGCCTGAGTGAAGAAATTCTCCAGCTTCAGTGGGCTGGGAGCAAAAGGCAGAGCGGAAGCCCAAGGTTGAGGGGCTTTCACCTGGCCCCCAGAACCTGGCACTTTGAACTTGGACTTTTAGCTTCCAAAACTGTAAGAGAATAAACTTCTATTTGTAAATCCATCCACCTGTGGTATATTTCTCTTAGAGCAGCACGAAGTAACAACAACAACAAAAAAAACCCAAACTGACTGCCGTGGAGTCAGTTTGACTCATAGCGACCCTTCCTTGAGTTTCTGAGGCAGTATCTCTATGGAAGTAGATTGCTAATCTTCCTTCTGAGGAGTGGCTGATGGGTTTGAACCACCAGCCTTCTGGTTAGCAGTGAAATGCCTTAGGCACTTCACCACCAGCTCAGAAAATCCTATGGAGCAGTTCTATTCTGTAACACACTGGGTCATCGTTGTCGTTGTTGTTACGTGCCATGGAGTCAGACCCAACTCATAGCGACCCCTCTTTGGGTTTCCAAGGCAGTATCACTATGGAAGTAGATTGCCCCATCTTCCTTCCGAGGAGTGGCTGGTGAGTTTGAACCACCAGCCTTCTGATAGGCACTACGCTACCAGAATCAAATCAAATCAAGTCAACAGCAATAGGAGAGTGAGATCCAGAATACTACGGTAACTACAGAGTCTCTTCTGAAAAATTAAAATGAAACACTTATTCCTCTGGAACTATGAATCATAGAGAAAAAATAGCATGAATCCCTAAAGACATATGTACAAAAAAATTTAATGCTGCATTTTGTATAATAGAAACAACCTGTATGTGCATCAGTGAAAGACTGACTAAATACGTTGATGTTCCCTGGTGGCACAGTGGTTAAAGCACCAGACACAAACCAAAAAAGTTGGCAGTTTGAAACCACCAGTCACTCATCAGGAGAAAGGTGTGACAGTCTGCTTCCACAAAGATTTGGAAACTCTATAGAGCAGTTCTACTCTGCTTAGAGGGTCACTATGAGTTGGAATTGACTCGATGGCAGTGAGTTTGGCTTGCTTTTTTTTCTATACAATTGAATAGTAGTATGAAACCCTGAAAATAAGTGAAGTATGTTTTAATGTGTCAACCTAAAAAAGTACATGATATATTGTTAACACAGAAAAGCAAGGTATAGTCCAATATAAATGGCATAATCCTGCTTTTATATGAAAATACGTACTTATGTTAATGCATATATATTGGGCACAGTCAATAAATTTACCTGTCAAATTTACAGCAAATAGAACTGAAGGGGTGTAGAGATATTTCACTTTTCAGTTTATATAATTTTAGAATGTTAATATTGTGAGAGAATTTTTTGCTTTCCTATTTAAAATAAACCATTAGTTTGAGTTGTAGATGACAGTGACATAACTGAGTTGGGCAGGAACTTAGGGTTAATTTTTAGAAATATGTAGTTTTGATTACAAAAGTGAAATATATTCTTGGTAGAAAAAGCAGAGAAGCAAACAGACAAAAAATAAAAACCACTTCTAATCTCACTACTCAAAGATAATCACTGTTAATATCTATTTTACTTTCTTCTAGTATTTTTTTCAGAGTTAAATTTAGTATCTAACTGCAGTAATCATCTTATCTGAGTTCTTGAATCAGTTACTTTTGTCTATCTCTATACATTTTCTGATCTTCATTTTTATCTTTAATGTTACCATTTATTATTTGTGTCTTTAATTGCAAGCTGCCTCATTAGTATAACATCAAATAAGTTAATACATAAACTGAGATGAAACATTTCGTGGCTTATAAACATGGCAAAATAGGCAGTCGAGAGAACGAAATTGACTATGAGGAAGGAGCAGGACAATTCTGGCTCTGGAACAAAGCTCAATGCTGTTGTTGTTATGTGCCGTGGAGTTGGCCCCTACTCATAGTGACCTCTCCTTGGGTTTCCAAGGTGGTATCACTACAGAAGTAGATTGCCCAGCCTTCCTGGAGCTCAATATTCCTACTCAAAAGCAGGAAGGGGACAGAAAGCCAGAGGAAGGGGAAGAGAAGAGAGGCTAGTTAGCTCATAATGTTGAGATATAAAATGATTGTGATCGCCTCCCTGGTTTCTTTTATGTACACCACACCTCATTTTCTTTTGAAATCTAAGGGAGAAGCAAGGTGATTTGCATACTGGCCCTCAGGGGAAGAGTCTGGTGATAGAGGTCTTTTCTGACAGCCAAAAGGTAAGGGTGGTATCAGGCTGACTTCTTGAAGTCCTAAGTGCTTACGGCTAGCTGTAGCTCATCCCACGCCATGCCACCTCACCATCTCAGTTTAGTAGCAATGACATAAAAGTACTGTGCATTGTGCTTTCAGCTGGGGGATTTACCCAGCAGACACATGTTGTATACAGTATGGAAATCTCCCCACCCTCGCATCCTGCCCAACTCACCATGTCCTCCCAGGTGTTTGAAAAGGCTATAAATAGCTGCCCTCTTGCCTTGCTTTTCAAAATAATAATTGACTTAAAACTTCTTCCTACAAGAAATGTTTAGATTTCAACCATCTATAATGTTGTATGTCTACATATACTCAGTATATCATATACAGTGTTTTGAATTTTTACTATGTAGAATTAAAGCGTATTAACCCATAGGCCAACATTACAAAACAGTTACTGTTAGCTTTAAATACAGTGATAAGGATTACCAGGCCACTATTCACTCAACTTGTTTACTATTATTCTATTTTGTATTTATTTGCCTTCCTGTTTTGTCAGTGTGTGTTTTCCTATTAGTTTGTAAACTAGGATCATGGCTTATACATCTGATGTCATAATTCTTGTTAAAATCTCTAAAGCTTGTAAATAAGGCAACAAGCAGGCAACATGTACTTTCAATATCATATGAAAGAATTAACCAGTCAACCCAAGGATAATTTAATTATCTAAGGGAATGAAGGAAGACTATGAAATTTGATCAATAAGGCAGGACTGAAGTATAGTGGTCTATTACTTTTAGCAGGTTTACTGACATATGAACAGATTAATTTTATGGGCTAGACTCCAACACTTTGACCCTGAGTGAGACACTTAATACTAAACCTCAGTCTCCTCATCATAAAATTATGTTATTTGCTTTTTTTAAAAAATTGTTGTTGCTGTTAGATGCCATCGAGTCAGTTTTGACTCAGAGCAACCCCGTGTACAACAGAATGAAATACTGCCAAGACCTCTACCATCTTCACAATCACTGCTGTGCTTGAGCCCATTGTTGCAGCCACCGTTTCTATCTAATTGAAGGTCTTCCTCTTTTTCACTGGCCCTCTACTTTACCAAGCATGATATCCTTCTCCAGGGACTGGTCTCTCCTGATAACACATCCAAAATACTTGTGTTGAAGTCTTACCATCTCTTGTCAAAGGAGCATTTTGGCTGTACTTTGGAGACAGATTTGTTCATTCTTCTGGCAGTCCATGATATTTTTAACAATCTTTGCCAATACCGTTAATTTGAATGCATCAGTTCTTCTTCAGTCTTCCTTATTCATTGTCTAGCTTCTGTATGCATATGAGGTGATTGAAAATACTTGGGTCAAGTGCACTTTAATCCTCAAAGTGACATCTTTGATTTTTAACCCTTTAAAATTTTTTGATTAATCTCCCTCAAATGAGAAAACAGGTGAAAAAATCCTTCAGACCCTGGAAACCACTGTGGCCATGGAACTCTGGTTCTGAGGTATAGCAGAAGCCCTTTTGAACTATTAATTTAACAGCTACTTCTGTATGCCTTATAGCACTGTTCTCTTCACTGGGTCACAGAGAAGAACATTCTAGACACCATCCTAGCCATAACCATACAGTTTACTTATAGCAGTTTATTCCCAGGAAGTAATTCAGCAGAATTTTCAGGAGGATGATTTTCAGAATATCTGTAAGATGATGATCACTACAGGGATATCTGTAACAACAACACTAAAACTGGAAATACCCCAGATATTAACAAAAGCAAGATGGTTTCAGAATGTAGGATTCTAACATATTGATTTAAAAGAATATACAGTCCACTCACACCTATACCTGGCCAGGGTCAGCCTGTCCCCTTTGGAGGTGGTAGCTGGTTGGGGGAGGCTGGTGACCCTGACCTGAGGAGGTAGCTATTTGCAGGTTGAGACAAAGGGGTATGTGATGGTGACAGGTCACAAAGGACAGTGGAGGATAAATGCAGTGGCAGAAGGAGGTTTAGGCAGAAGCCCTGGAGGGAGATGGGCAGTGGTCTTTGCTCCCTCTCTCTTGGTGACACAATTTGTGGGTGGTGGAGCTGTCTTGGAAGAAGAGAACCATGAACAATGAATGTGACTTACCTTATTACACTGCCCACAGCTACCATTCAATGGGTGTGTTCAACACCTCCATGGGGGACCTGCAGCGACAACTGAACAAGGGAGGAGAGTATGACATTTTCAAGTATGCACCAATGTTTGAGAGCGATTTTATACAGATCAGCAAAAAAGGAGAGGTGATTGACGTACACAACCGTGTCCGAATGGTGACCGTGGGCATCGCATCCACCAGCCCCATCCTCCCCCTGCCTGATGTCATGCTGCTGGCTCGGCCAGCTAAAGTCTGCGAAAATCAAGTTGGGCACAGCCGACCTACCAAGGGGAGAGGTCGCAAGACCACAAAGACCTTAGAGCTCACCAGGCTCCTTCCCTTGAAGTTTGTCAAGATCTCCATACATGATCATGAGAAGCAGCAGCTGCGCCTGAAACTTGCCACTGGCCGTACTTTTTACCTGCAGCTGTGTCCTTCTTCAGATGCACGAGAAGACCTCTTTTCCTATTGGGAAAAACTAGTTTATCTCCTGAGACCACCAGTAGAGAGTTATACCAGTACCCCGACCATCCAAACTGGGGATCTAATTACCACATCTGTATGTCTGACAGACGAAGACAAAAGCACAACGGTAAGCATTTCCAGAGGCAAAAAAAAAAAAAAAAAAAATGGGGACAGGGTGCTTTGGGATAGCAGCTAAAAGCTGGTCCTACAAAGGCTTTGGTGTTCTCTGAGGCTCAGCTGAGAAATGCATTGCATTTGAAAGTTGTTGTTGTTATGTGCCGTCGAGTTGTACACGACTCATAGCGACCCCTCCTTGGGTTTCTGAGGCAGTATCACTACGGAAGTAGATTGCCCCATCTGTAGATTGCCCCATCTTCCTTCCTGCCCCATCTTCCTTCTGAGGAGTGGCTGGTGGGTTTGAACCGCGAGCCTTCTGGTTAGCAATCAAGTGCTTTAGGCACTATGCTACCAGAGCTCCCGCATTTGAAAGTACTCAGGGCCAAATAGGTCCCTGGGTAGTGTAAATTGTTTGCCCTTAACCACTAACCTAAAGGTTGGCAGTTGAAACCCTACTCAGTGATGCCATGGAAGAAAGTCCTGTGAGCTGTAGTAACAGGGACAGCCAGGAAAACCCCATGGAACAGTTCTACTCTAACTCATGGGATTGCCATGAGTTGCAACTGAATCATTGACAGTGGGTTTGTTTTTTGGTTTTTGGAGCCACATGAGCCACCACTAAGTGACTTTCCACATTGGAGAGGTTCTGAGTGCTTCTCAATAGTGTTACCCAAGCCTGAATTTCAGCTGCTGTGTTCTCATACCCAGAGCTACAATCCCCTTTACAGCATCCTCGTTGTCCAATCTGTTTGAATACTTCCTTCCCAACCCAGGGAGGCTCATAAGTTGGGGAACACTTTTAACAATGAGCAAGTCCTTTCTTCATTTGAGCTATGATCTGTTACCCCACGACTTCCATGTACTGATTTTTATGGAAATCAGTATGACCCACATGTGCACAAGCAATTCTGCATGCATACAATTTGTTAGTAACCTCCAAATGGTGAAATCTGTATGTCCCTTGACTCAGAAATCCCACTTCTAAGAATCTGTCCTGCAGAGGTATAAGCATAAATATATAAAAGTGTTCAAGGATGGCAAATTCAATTTCCCTGGCATTGGCATAGTTTAAGCAACACTGAGTGGGCATTTAACAGGAGATGCAGACAGGATTCTTGCATCAAATGGGAGCTTTGATTTGATGATCTCAAATGTTCTTTGAATGATAAGCCCTTGAGTTGCTCAGCATCAGGATAAAAAGAGGAACATGCAATTCTGGTCTCACTTTCCACCTTCTCTATTTCACCTGTTTCTTCTTCCATTGGCACAGACTGCAGAGCTCCGTGGAGAAGGGGATCGGGACGAGGTCAAGCTTCACAAGCTCCGAGAGGTGTCTGGAGCCACCTCTTCTGCTTATGCTGGGGGAGAGGGAATCCAACAAGCTTCCCATGAAAAGCCTCATACACCTTCTGTAGCCAGAAAAGCTTCAGGGCCTGGCAAAGTAGCAGCAATAGCAGGGGCAGTGGCAGGCCCCACAGCAGGCACAGCTGTAGCAGGGGCAGCAGCAGGATCCACAGCAGGTGCAGCAATAGCAGGGGCAGCAGCAAGCCCTACAACAGGAGTGGCAGCAGCAGGGACAGCAGCAGGCCGTACAGCAAGTACTATGAGCATTGCAACCACCAAGACTTCAGGCCCAGGACAGGTAAACGCAGCCATGGCAGGAGTGGCCACCAAGGGTCCAGGAGAAAGTGGAGCCAGCAAGGCCATGGCAGGTGCTGCCAACATGTCCTCAGAAGGTGTTAACATGGTCTTGGTGGGTGCTACAAGCACATCCACACAGGATAGTTCCGCCACATCAATGGCAGCTACCAATTTCTCCTCAGACAACAGCATGAGTGTGGTGTTTGCAGGAGTAGCAACCACCAATAAGCCTGTCGCAGAAAGCACTGGAGGACCCCTCATCTCAACGTTGCAGAGTGAAGGCTATATGAGTGAGAGAGATGGAAGCCAGAGGGTCTCCCAGCCCAGTGCTGAAGCTCATAAGGCAAAAAAGGAAAGAAGAGCAAAGAAGGACAAAAATCCCACTAGGAAAACTTCCCGTCACCGCAGGACAGGTGGCGACAAATCAACCCGGAAATCATCCTCCCACCGGTCCTTGGCCAGCCATGGAACCACAAGAGGGGACAAAAAAGAAAAAGGCCACAGTACCCTAAAGAGCAAAGGACAAAGGTCCTCCTCTCACAAAAGTATGAGCCGCAGTCCCACCCCAAAGGAGTCTAGGACAACTCACAAACTGGGCAAGAACCAATCTGCAACTAGCTCAGCTTCTATAGGTAAGAAATCCAGCAAGATTGGCTCTTTCTTCAGGAGTTTCAGAGCCATCCCTGCTTCAAAAGCAATGACAACATCCCATGACAGAGGAGTGGACATTGTGGCCAAGACTGTGGAGAGGTGCAACATTGAGGCCAAGATGGAGAGAGCACAGGATGGCCAAGACCTGGAAATCATGGGTACCATGACATCTGAGACTATGGAGACAATAATCTTTGAATCTAAATCTGTTTAAATCACAACCTGAGCAGGAAGCTGCAGTTGAGACCAGGGCTTGGGGAAGTATCCCTAGGGAGTCAATTCCAGCTTTTGTTACTGCAGTTTAAATAAACAATAAAACCATATAATGCCAAATGAAATGCTATCTTGTTTGATTTTCTGTCTCACAGCCTGGTAGTGATTTCACAGCAGCTTTTGTGACGTCGTCTGTGCTGCAGCCTGAGACCCCAGCCAACAATCCCCCTCCCCCTTCTCCCCATTGCTCAGCAGAGCCAATGTGGGTGCTCTTTCAGCCTTTGGTTCCCACCACCACCAGCATCTTCCTATCCCCTTTCTACTCCCCACCCTGAAGGTCCCTAAATTCCAGTCAATAGACTAAGCAAAGATAGGATTCATGTTGCTTAGGATATTCAGGGGAGGTGGTTCAGCAGTATTTGTGGGCAGTAAGGACAGAAAAGTCTATCATCTAGATCAAAGAACTGGCAGTACCCATCTTGAGGGAAAATCTTACCCAGCGCACCTGTTTTTGTAAAGAAAGTTTTATTGCAACATAGCCTTGTCATTAATTTACATATTTGCTATGCCTGTTTTCACATTAAAATGACAGAGCTGAGTAGTTTCATAGAGATTTATGGCCCACAAAGTTTAAAATATTTACTAATTGACCCTTTACAGAAAATGTCTGCTAATCCCCCATATAAATTTAGCAAGTCAACTTCTAGGTATATATCCAGGAGACAGAATGTTTATTGTAAAACAATTTGTACAAGCAAAACCTTGAAAACAGTAAAGATATCATCAAACAGGAGAACTGATAAATTGTGTATACATTCCGTGCATATCATACAGCAATGAAAATGAGTAGCAGGTATACATGTTAGCACGGGTGACTCTCACAAAATGTTGCATAATAAAAGAAAGTCAGAGAAATCCATATGCTTGGGGTACATATTTGCTAAACATGTAGAGAAAAATAAGGGAGCGATAAACAAAATTCATAGTAAGTATCTGTGGGGTGGAAATAAGGGAGGTGTGATCTGGAAGGTTCACACCAGGGGCATCAACAGCATGGAAATTATTATGTTTCTTAAGCAAAAGTGTGTCCAAGAGAGTTTATTACAACTCCCCCCTCTAGAATATCTCTAGAATGAGAAGGGTTTTAAAACTACTAAGTGGCAGTTGTTATTTCATTGCCAAAACTAAAACCAAACTCACTGCCATTGAGTCAGATCCCAACTCACAGTGACCCTTCCTTGGGTTTTTGAGGTAGTATCTCTATGGAAGTAGATTGTCCAATCTTCCTTCTGAGGAGTGGCTGGTGGATTTAAACTGCCAGCCTTCTGGTTAGCAGTCAAGTGCCTTAGGCACTATGCCACCAGAGGTCCCATTTCATTGCCACTGCCCTAGAAATACTTTAGCCAATTTATTTCAGATGTATTTTCCTTTTCATATATACATAATAGTGATACATGACAAATACCTAAATTTTAAGGCTCTCTTTCAATAAGTATAAAATAATTTTAAGTGACATAAAGAATATTCGGAATACAGAAATCTGGAAAATATTTAGGGATATTGGTAAGAGACAGTAGAATAATCCAAACTTCTGGGTACAAATCAACTATGTAAATGCATGTGGAAAGTAATTCCAAAATTTAAAAATCATCAACTGTGGAAATAGGATTATGAATTGAAAAGCATGTATTATAAAAAATATTACATTGTCTTATCAATTAAAAAAAGTTATATATTTCATGAGCCTATGAAAGTCACTAAGTGTTTAATAGCAGATAAAAGTTAGATTTGAGAAGAAGGATTCTGAGAACTTTATTTGTATGAACTTAGGTGGCAACTGCCTAGCCTTTTAATTCTTTGCTCATTCTCTTCTGTGAAAATGGCACCTATTAGGGTAGAAGTTGGGTTTCGAGAAAAACTTAGGGACCTTCTTTGCAAAAATGTGTGGTAGAGGTGGAGGATGTGCTAAATGGGGCCCTCTGGGCTTTGGTGGCTTGGGAGTTTCAGGGGCAAGCCCTTCTCAGGATGTTCTGGTGGGTGGCTAAAAAAATCCCACCTTGTGATGGAAGGACTGATAGACACTTGGGGATCAAGATGTCCTTGGAGTCAACTCTTGAAATAGCAAGTATATGTAGAGGGAAAAAGAGAGTGTTATGAATTGAATTGCATCCCCAAAAAAGGTAGGTTGAAGTCCTAACTCTTGGTATTGTAAACACGGCTTTGGAAATAGGATCTCTGAAGTATCAGTTAACCTGAGGTCATACTAGAGTGAGTCCCAATCCAACCTGAGTGGTGTCCTAATAAAAAAAAAAAAAAAGAGAGAGAGACAGACAGACACAGGGGGAGAAGTATGGACACGTGAAGAAGAATTTACAAATCAAGGAACTCTGGGGCTCCCAGCAGCTGAGAGAGACAAGAAAAGATCTTCCCCTAGAGACTTCAGAGGGAGCATGGACCTGGCAGACACACTGATGTGGACTCCCAAATTGCAAATTGTGTGACAATACATGTCTGTTGTTTAAAGCCACCAACTTTGTGATACTTTGGTATGACAACCCTAAGAAATTCACACAGTTTCTCTTGCAAGTTCTCAAAGCCCTAAGGCCAATGTAGAAGCCACTTGAGAATATGAGTGGTTGGCATATGAGGTAGAGGAGAGAGACTAAGGGGAACTCTTTTCAAAGCCTTTAACCTGGAGCCCCAAATTTACAGCTATGTCAGAGCCAAATGATCTTTAGTTACAACAGATGAATATCGTGATTCTGTAGGCCACAATACTACCTTTTATCCTTCTCTTAGTCTTGCCTTATATTCTCTCCACCCTACCCCCATAGAGGGTGGTCTTCAATATAAACCTAGTTTCTCCACCTGCAGGGTGTTAGTAAGCAGACCTGCATCTCACACAAATGCCCTGAAGTTAGGTGGAGGTGGGGACTTGCCCACCATACCATGCTCTGCCATGTACTTTCTCTTCATTTCCTTTTCTATCTTGACAGTTCATCTACAGACACATACATAAATACTTATGTGTTTTGAAGCAACAGGTTTCTTCCTCCTGAGGGGAGATACCAATTGACGCATCAAGTCAATACACTCTATCAGATAAAGGTCAATATTTTTGTCAACATTCATCACCATGGTAGCTATTTTGCTATTGCAAGTGCAATGAAGTACTGGTTGATTATGAACCAGTGTCCCAAGCTTAAAGTCTGAATTTCCTAGTATGAACATACACAAAGATGATGAAAGGATCTTTTGCCAAGAGCAAAATAAGAAGATAGCTAATGGGGTTGACATGATGAAGTGGAGTCTTTGAGACAGAGGGAACATATGCTATGATGGGAAGAAGCAAATTGCTTCAAAATATTGAAGGCAGGCCATCATGGTCAGCAGGACAAAAGTGGTAAGAGATACACGAAAGAGGGCACTCAGGGGACAGTTCGTGCAGGGCTTTGAGCTCCATGTGAAAGATTCTAACCTCTTTCCTTAGAGTAATGGGAAGTCACTGAAATATATTAAGCAGGGAGTGCCTTGATCAGATATACATTTTGGAAAGGTCACTGTGGTTGCTGCGTGGAGAAATATTTGGGAAGGAGGTTGCTAACAGGTGACTTATGTCACTTCCTATCTCTGAGAAGTAGAATCTTCAAAATGCAGAGATAGAAGGGGATATTTTGGAAGGTACATCCCATTTGAAATACCCATGTGGGGTGACACTGTTGCACCACCAGCCACCCGTTCAACAAAGCACTTGTGGCTCCAGCTGCTTGGAGTTCTGCTAACAGAAGGCCTTCAGCTATCAGTTGAGTCACAAAATTGCCTGCTGAGGAGAGGTGCCTCAGCCAAGCGATATTCTTCCCAGAGCAGCCCACATTAAGGATCGATCAATTCTGAAGGGCCATTCTAGTTCCAGAGTTCTCTGTGTAGCAAGTATCACAATTCATTTCCTTACTCTGTGCACCCCTGCTTTTGGTTCTTTCTCTCCCACAGGTGTTGGTCCTAAGCCAAAAATCCACTGTTATCAAGTCGACATCGACTCATAGCTACCCTACAAGACAGAGTAGAATTGCCCTTAGGGTTTCCAAGGCTGTAAATCTTTACAGAAACAGACTGCCTCATCTTTCTCCAGCGGAGCATCTGGTAGGATCAAACCACCAATCTTTAGTTTGGCAGCTGAATGCATTAACCTCTACTCCTTAGTCAACATCTGCCCACTAAACTCCTTCTCAAAATCTACTTCTTGAATAACATAACTAGTGACACTATTAGTGTAATGCTGGATTACTTTTCTTTAGAATGGACACAAATTTGGATCTCTTCCAATCTGTTGGCCAGGGACCTGTTTTCCAAAATTCTTGGCATAAATGAGTGAGCATTTCCACTGTTGCATCCATTTGTTGAAACAAATTCAAATATTATTTACCCATAATTTTGTACCTGAAGCCTTACTCTCTTCACCCAAGTCACAGTCCTCATGTGAAAGGGCAGTGAAAACAGTCAGCTCATATTTGTACACACTCACTATTTGGCAAATATCGAAGGTTTTTTTTTTTTTTTTCCTTCCTTTGCTTTTGTTCAGAGTCCATCTTTCAATAACAATATATTTAGCACTGACTATGTGCAAGCCATGGTATTTTCAATTGCTTCATATACATGTAAGAACTGGACAGTGAAAAAAGAAAACCAAGAAAAGTCAATGCTTTTGAGTTGTGGTGTTGGTGAAGAATGCTGAAAGTACCATGACTGCTAAAAGAACTTACAAATCAGTCCTGGAAGAAGTGCATCAGGAATGCTTCTTGGAAGCAAGAATGGGCAGACTTCGTCTCACCTACTTTGGTCATGTTGTAAGAAGGGACCATTCCCTGGAGAAGGATATCATGCTTGGCAAAGTGGAGGGACAACAAAAAAGGGGAAGACCTTCAATAAGATGGATTGACACAGTGGCTGCAATGATGGGCTCAGGTATAGCAAGGATCATGGGGCTGGAACAGGACTGCACAG